AATCAGTCTTTTAGGTTCTAGAACCCAGAACCTTGGGCAATCAGTATTTTAGGTTCTAGAAACCTGAACCTTGGGCAATCCGTTTTTTAGGTTCTAGAACCCAAAACCTTGGGCAATCAGTCTTTTAGGTTCTAGAACCCAGAACCTTGGGCAATCAGTCTTTTAGGTTCTAGAACCCAGAACCTTGGGCAATCAGTATTTTAGGTTCTAGAAACCTGAACCTTGGGCAATCCGTTTTTTTAGGTTCTAGAACCCAAAACCTTGGGCAATCAGTTTTTTAGTTTCTAGAACCCAGAACCTTGGGCAATCAGTCTGTTTTTGGGCTCTAGTTGTAGCCTGGTCCCAGATCTGTTTGTGCTGTTTTACCAACTAGAACAGCTCCTGAGTCAAGTCCAATGGTACAACTATTCGCTGAGTTAATAGCACAATATGGACACGCACATTGATACAACATTGATTTAAAATGAATAGATATTGATTGATAGCCAGAACATTATGTCAAGACAGCAGGCATAAGGAATACTCTCTCTAGGGTTGCACATTTTTGTTAACTTTCCCAAAATTCCCCGGTTTTCCAGAAATCCTGGTTGGAATACTCTTGGAATTAGGAGGGAATATAGAGGAAATCCAGGAATCCTTCCTTTAGGATTTCTGGAAAACCAGGAATTTTTGGGAATGTTACCTGAATTAATACAGTATAATTTATCATTTGAAAACAAAGATTTTGTGAAAAATACTATATACCTCAATTAATCTAATATCGACAGTAATTTTCTTACCATTGCCAGTTGTATTCATAAAACGTTTGAGATATACAGTGCCTTCGTAAAGTATTCAGACCCCTTGACTTTTTCCACATTTTGTTACGTTACAGCCTTATTCTAAAATTTATAAAATATTGATTTTTTTCTCAGCAATCTACACACAATATCCCATAATGACAAAGCAAATACAGGTTTTTAGAAATTTTTGAAAATGTATTACAAATACAAAACTGAAATACCTTACTTACATAGGTATTCAGAACCTTTCCTATGAGACTCGAAATTGAGGTCAGGTGCATCCTGTTTCCATTGATCATCCTTGAGATGTTTCTACCACTTGATTGGAGTCCACTTGTGGTAAATTCAATTGATTGGACATGATTTGAAAAGGCACACACCTGTCTATATAAGGTTCCACAGTTGACAGTGCATGTCAGAGCAAAAACCAAGCCATGAGGTCGAAGGAATTGACCGTAGAGCTCCGAGACAGGATTGTGTCGAGGCACAGATCTGGGGAAGGATACCAAAAAATGTCTGCAGCATTGAAGGTCCCCAAGAACACAGTGGCCTCCATCATTCTTAAATGGAAGAAGTTTGGAACCACCAAGACTCTTCCTAGAGCTGGCTGCCCGGCCAAACTGAGAAATCGGGGGAGAAGGGCCTTGGTCAGGGAGGGGACCAAGAAACCGATGGTCACTCTGACACAGCTCTAGAGTTCCTCTGTGGAGATGGGAGAACCTTCCAGAAGGACAACCATCTCTACAGCACTCCACCAATCAGGCCTTTATGGTAGAGTGGCCAGATGGAAGCCACTCCTCAGTAAAAGGCACATGACAGCCCGCTTGGAGTTTGCCAAAAGGCACTTAAATTCTCTCAGACCATGAGAAACAAGATTCTCTGGTCTGATGAAACCAAGATTGAACTCTTTGGCCTGAATGCCAAGCATCACGTCTGGAGGAAACCTGGCACCATCCCTACGGTGAAGCATGGTGGTGGCAGCATCATGCTGTGGAGATGTTTTTCAGTGGCAGGGACTGGGAGACTAGTCAGGATCGATGCTCTGTTCATCTTTGCAAAGTACAGAGAGATCCTTGATGAAAACCTGCTCCAGAGCACTCAGGACCTCAGACTGGGGCGAAGGTTCACCTTCCAACAAGATAACGACCTTAAGCACACAGCCAAGACAACGCAGGAGTGGCTTCGGGACAAGTCTCTCAATGTCCTTGAGTGGCCCAGCCAGAGCCCGGACTTGAACCCGATCGAACATCTCTGGAGAGACCTGAAAATAGCTCTGCAGCAACTCTCCCCATCCAACCTGACAGAGCTTGAGAGGATCTGCAGAGAAGAATGGGAGAAACTCCCCAAATACAGGTGTGCCAAGCTTGTAGCGTCATACCCAAGAAGACTCGATGCTGTAATCGCTGCCAAAGGTGCTTCAACAAAGTACTGAGTAAAGGGTCTGAATACTTATGTAAATGTACTAATTCAGTTTTTTATTTTTTATAAATTAGCAAACATTTCTAAAAACCAGTTTTTGCTTTGTCTTTATGGGGTATTGTGTTTAGATTGATGAGGGGAAAAAACGATTTAATCAATTTTAGAATAAGGCTGTAACGTAACAAAATGTGGAAAAAGTCAAGGGGTCTGAATACTTTCCGAAGGCACTGTATGTATGATAATCAGCCAGCAGCATCGTCACTGGCTTGTTCTATCCAAACGGACTCCTTGCTCCTTGTGCGCCACATGTCCTGGAGCCCCTGATATGCCGGAGCATGTCCATGTCACATAAACAACAAAAGCTGGTGAGTGCATTGCTGATGTTGTTTTTTGCTTGAGATGTAAGGCGTGCTCTCTCAGTGATTTACATTTTGTGCTGATAATCGGTCCGTAGCATTGTCACCGGCTTGTTCTATCCAAACGGTGCCGTCCCTTCCTCTCCCGTCTCACTGTTTAATTTTTGGTGGTGGGCACGGGCACCTGCTCAGCGCGCACCGTTCTGGCTTTTAAAAAAAAGTTAGGCCTCGGAGGTGTAAGTTCAGGCTGAGGCTCAGCATCAGAAGAATGATCATCAGAGATGTCATGATTCATTTCTTCCCCCACCATCTGAGTCGTTTTCATTCAGATCTGCAGCAGCATTAACGCAGCGAGTGCATCCATCTGTCTTGGTCTTCTTGCCATTGTAAATTATGCACGCCATCGCCGTGTACCCCAAGTAGGCCAGAGTAGACTGATAAGACTGCTTGGATTCATTGGACTGATATAGGGTATATATTGAGATTATAGTTAGAATAGATCAGTACAGTAGAATGGCCCGCCCTGTTCTTCATTGACAATTGGTTATTCGATAATTATGCATGGTTCGACTTCCCCTCGCTCATCAACTCACCCATTCTCCCCCATCATACTTTACTTCATTTATTTAAATCTGTTTTTATGTGTGTGAAATTAGATTCGGTACTGTTTAGGTTAAGTTTTGAGGCAAATATCGGGATGATTATCAACTGGGCACGGCACCTTCCACTGTCGGGAGAAGGAGCGGAGCAGGCCCTACTGGTCGGGAGAAGGAGGGGCAATGGGGGAAACCATTCAAAAAAGTATATGCCCTCATACACTTAGAAAAAAACGTGTTCCCAAAGGGTTATTTGGCTGTCCCCATAGAATAATCATTTTTGGTTCCAGGTATAGCCACAGGAAGTAGGTGTGCTGAGGGTGCTGCAGCATCCCCTGAAAAATCAGAATAAAAAAAATTAGGGGTGTAACGATCCATCTACTACATCGATGTATCGATTTGTATTCCTATGATCCAACTACATCGATCTGTGCTCGGCGAGTTGGCCTTTTGGACAACATATATCAATCTAACATCGTTTTAAAATGTAATAAATCGATTGTATCGATACTAGGAAATAACCCATTGGATTTAAGCACGTCAGACTTTATATGGATGTTTTTTCTTAGCACTTTTAATGATAAAGGCTTTAAACATTACTCGATTCAGTCTGCCTATCCGTGACGTCATCGCCCCGCGCCAGCAGCAGCGCAAAGGCGCAAAGACAACAAAACATAGCATGGCAGACGACAGAGGAGAAGCCGACGAGCGAGAAATTATCAAGCCACCATTGCGGTCCTTACAAGAAACAGGAATCTAGGAAACTTCACCTGCACTGTCCAGTATCCAGGTATTTATTTCAGTCACACTGGTTGAATTTTTGGCTAAAAGGTTACTGAATCGATTTCAAGTCACTAAATCGTTTCGGATCGTATCGTTCTAAATGAACCAATATCGTCCTTGAATCGTATCGACAACCACGAATCGTGATACAAATCGAATCGTTGTTAAAACGAATCGTTACACCCCTAAAAAAAATTTATTCATACATTATTTTTTTCACAAAAGTAGTGCACTGGCCCTTTACTAGTCCTGTAGTAGCAGACCGACATAGCCGTCTGTAATGCGGGCAAAAAATATATATTCTGCGACGACCAGAAATTCTCAGCACCCCCACCCCCAAACATCTTCCCGCGGCTATGGTTCCAGGTCGTCAAATCAAGTCACATTTTATTGGTTGCGTACACATATTTAGCAGATATTATCGCGGGTGTAGCGAAATGCTTATGTTCCTAGCTCCAACAGTGCAGTAATGCCTGACAATACAAAACAATACACACAAATCCCCCAAAAAGTTAAATAAAGACATATAGAAATATTAGAACGAGCAATATCAGAGTCTGGAATATAAATATATATTCTCAGCACCTCCACTGAACCTAGTCTGACCCTAAGTCCCTTCAGAAAGTATCCACACCCCTCTACTCCTTTTTGGTTCCAGGTAGAACCCTTTTGGTTCCAGGTAGAACCCTTTTGGGTTCCATGTAGAATCCTCTGTGGAAAGGGTTCTACAGGGAACCCAGAAGGGTTCTACCTGGAACCAAAAAAATGTTTTTCAAAGGGTTCTCCTATGAGGACATCTAAATAACCCTTTTAGGTTCTAGATAGCACCTTTTTTCTAAGACTGGTTATACTCCAGGTCTGTTTGTGATATTATTAACACTGACAGTGTGTTATATAGACTTATTTAGGAGAAGTCAAGGACGGAGGGGGGCAGTCCAAATGACTGCCTCAACAGTTGTATTGTTAAAACACATCATTGGCACTTGATCACAAATGGTAATTGACCATTTAATATGAATATTGAGGTGATGATTATGAATATTGAGGTGATGATTTGAGGACAAATGGGTGTACTACTGCTACAGTTCAGACACACGTTCACAGACCACACCACCAACCACACGAACCCACACTTTACCACCACACACTCCCACATCCCTTACCCCAACCACGACACCAAACCGAAACCACACCAACACCCACCACCAACAGCACCACAAGACCACACCGGACCACACCACAGACCAAACCGGACACCACCACACTACCAAACCCCCACACGACCACACCTGACCACCACCACACGACCACACCTGACCACCACCACCACCACACCGGACCACCACCACACACCACCACCGCAAACCCCCCACACACGACCACCCCCACACCGGACCAAACCACACACGACCACCACCACACCACACCGGACCACCACCACACACCACACTGGACCACCACCACACTACCACGACCACACCGGACACACCACACGAACTACCACACCACCAAACCGACCACGACCACACCGACCACACCACCACCACACCACCACACCGGACCACCACCACACCGTGACCACCACCACACGACCACCACCACACACCACACCTGACCACACCACCACACACCTGACCACCACCACACAGCAAACCGACCACCACCACACGACCACCACACACCACACCGGACACCACCACACGACCACCACCACACTACCACACCGGACACACCACAACCGGACCACCACCACACGTACCACCACCACAGACCACACCGACCACCACACCACCACACCGGACCACCACCCCACTAGCACACCTGACACCACCACACACCACCACCACACGACCACACCGGACCACCCACCACCACACCTTACCACCACCACACTACCACACACACACCACAACCTACCACCACCACACACCACTACCACACACCAACCGACAAACCACACACCAACCACACCTTACCACCACACACACACCACCACACTACACACAGGTACCACCACCACCACCAACACCGACCACACCACACTACCACCACCACACTACCACACCTTACCACCACCACACTACCACTACCACACTACCACACCTTACCACCACCACACACCACCACCACACTACCACACCTTACCACCACCACACTACCACACCTTACCACCACCACACTACCACACATTACCACCACCACACTACCACACCTTACCTACACCACACTACCACACCTTACCACCACCACACTACCACTACCACACCTTACCACCACCACACTACCACACCTTACCACTACCACACCTTACCACTACCACACCTTACCACCACCACTACCACACTACCACACCTTACCACCACCATATGTAAATATAACTAGGAATAAAGTGACAGATAGTAAACAGCAGCAGCGTATGTGATGACTCAAAAAAGGTTTGTGCAAAAAGGGTCAATGCAGATAGTCTGGGTAGCTATTTGGTTAACTATTTAACTAACTATTTAGCAGTGTTATGGCTTGGGGGTAGAAGCTGTACAGGGTCCTGTTGGTTCCAGCCTCAGTACTGCTTGCCGTGCAGTAGCAGAGAGAACAGTCTATGACTTGGGTGATAATGCAGTAGCATCAAGAGAACAGTCTATGACTAGGGTGATAATGCAGTAGCAGAGAGAACATTCTGTGACTAGGGTGATAATGCAGTAGCAGAGAGAACAGTCTATGACCAGGGTGATAATGCAGTAGCAGAGAGAACAGTCTGACCTGGGTGATAATGCAGTAGCAGAGAGAACAGTCTATGACTAGGGTGATAATGCAGTAGCAGAGAGAACAGTCTGACCTGGGTGATAATGCAGTAGTAGAGAGAACAGTCTGTGACTAGGGTGATAATGCAGTAGCAGAGAGAACAGTCTATGACTAGGGTGATAATGCAGTAGCAGAGAGAACAGTCTATGACTAGGGTGATAATGCAGTAGCAGAGAGAACAGTCTGACCTGGGTGATAATGCTGTAGCAGAGAGAACAGTCTATGACTAGGGTGATAATGCAGTAGCAGAGAGAACAGTCTGACCTGGGTGATAATGCAGTAGTAGAGAGAACAGTCTATGACTAGGGTGATAATGCAGTAGCAGAGAGAACAGTCTATGACTAGGGTGATAATGCAGTAGCAGAGAGAACAGTCTGACCTGGGTGATAATGCAGTAGCAGAGAGAACAGTCTATGACTAGGGTGATAATGCAGTAGCAGAGAGAACAGTCTGACCTGGGTGATAATGCAGTAGCAGAAAGAACAGTCTATGACTAGGGTGATAATGCATACATGCTAGAATTTAATTAGGACAAAGAACGCTGTATGCTTTATATGGTGCTAACTTACAATGGCAGTCATGCACTTTCTGACTTTGTGTGTGTGTGTGTGTCTGTGTGTGCACAAGTGAATGTGTACACGTGTGTTTGAGCTTTTGACTACACCCCCCCCCCCCCCCCCCCCACCCCCTCACTTCCTCTCTCCACCCCCACTTGCAAGTCAGGGAGGCCTCACTGCACTGCACTGCACTGTCCCTCCTTACTTCCCAGCACCAGTCATCTACCCTTGGCTGTGACCCAAATGTCACCCTATTCCAATATAAAGTGCACTACTTTTGACCAGGGCCCATAGTGCTCTAGTCTGGTTAAAGGTAGTGAACTATATAGGGAATAGGGTGACATTTGGGACGCAGTCTATATGTTTAGCTTTTTATAATCATTATTATTATCAATATTATGATATTATTATTGCTATTATTATGACTATTGTTATTTTCTTAATTAGAGTTTAAATTAACTTATATTTTTTATACAAAGAAAAAAGATGTTGGCTTTTTTGTATTGTACAAAGTGAACATGAAGAGAAACAGAATGTTCTCAAGGTGTTATAACTGTTATATGAATGGTAACAAGACATCTTATAATAACTGTTATATGAATGGTAACAAGACATCTTATAATAACTGTTATATGAATGGTAACAAGACATCTTATAATAACTGTTATATGAATGGTAACAAGACATCTTATAATAACTGTTATATGAATGGTAACAAGACATCTTATAATAACTGTTATATGAATGGTAACAAGACATCATATAATAACTGTTATATGAATGGTAACAAGACATCTTATAATAACTGTTATATGAATGGTAACAAGACATCTTATAATAACTGTTATATGAATGGTAACAAGACATCTTACAATAACTGTTATATGAATGGTAACAAGACATCTTATAATAACTGTTATATGAATGGTAACAAGACATCTTACAATAACTGTTATATGAATGGTAACAAGACATCTTATAATAACTGTTATATGAATGGTAACAAGACATCTTATAATAACTGTTATAAGAATTGTCTAGATGTGTTATAACCGTTATAAGAATTGTCTAGATGTGTTATAACTGTTATAAGAATTGTCTAGATGTGTTATAACCGTTATAAGAATTGTCTAGATGTGTTCTAACCGTTATAAGAATTGTCTAGATGTGTTATAACTGTTATAAGAATGGCCTAGATGTGTTATAACTGAGGAATGTCTCAACTGTAAATGTAAGAGAGCAGGAATGATGATGCGTTTTTATTTTTTAAAATCCTGAAAACACCAATGTGTGAGCCAATGTTCATTCCTGTGTGAGCTTTCATGACTGTTTCATAGTGCTTCAACACTGTATATCTGTTTTAGCTACTAAAAGCCTAGAATGAGGCTGATTTTAAAGCCGAATAGGAATACAAATGCCTTTCTGAGGACAATAAAGAGCATGGCTGGTCATGGGCGGGTCATGGGCGGGTGGGCAAAAAAGCTGTCACACGGCGCGCAACCACTGGAGGGACGCCGGCCTCCCGATTGCTCATTGCGAACTGGGATAAAGTATCCTTCTATCATTGCTTATCGTGGTGAAGCTCCTTTTAGGTCCGGGAATATTTTAATGTTGCCAGCAAGGAATACAGAAAGATATCATAAGCTCCATTTCAATTATTTGACTTCTTCTCGATGATAAAATAGCAATAAGGCCAGAGGAGGTGTGGTATATGGCCAATATACCACGGCTAATGGCTGTTCTTAAGCACGACGCGGAGTGCCTGGATACAGCCCTTAGCCGTGGTATATTGGCAATATACCACAAACACCCGAGTTGCCTTATTGCTATTATAAACTGGTTACCAACGTAATTAGAGCAGTAAAAATACATGTTTTGTCATACCTGTGGTATATGGTCTGAAATACCAAGGCTGACAGCCAATCAGCATTCAGGGCTCGACCCACCCAGTTTATAATTCCCTTTAGTTACCACACCTGGTACAGGGATGGCTAACTCAGGAAATTCCTTTGGTCTCTACTGAGTTAGGTAAATCAGTTTTTTTGCACCTTATTTGTGGAGCAATCTTCAAAATGTTCTGAAATTTGATGTTTTGGTGCCTCTAGGCCAATTCAGAACGCTGATTGAGGACCTTTTTACTGATACATTTTTCTTCCTGCTTGCATTTTGTATTTTTATTTTGATGTGTGTATTTTTATTTATTTATGTAATTCATGGCCCATCTGTAAAAGAGACCTTGGTCTCAGTATGACTCCCTGATAAAATAAAGGTTAAAAAAATTTAACTTTCGCCACTGTGTTGACGCGCGGTATCCCCTGACAACCGTCTGGGGAAAACAGGAATATTTTCTCTGAACTTTTCTCATCGCCTCAAACGCGGGTGAGTAGATTATGCTTCGGCAATATGATGTTGGTGTAGTTATTTCCAGCGAATTACAGGGTTTATATCGTCTCAAGAAACGTTTTGCTATAGTAGCTAGTTTACTTATTTGCGTGCGTGCGTTGCGCCGATCGCACTGCACCCACATGGTCAGAATGTCTTATGTAAACTCATTAATTCAACTCATGAAGGTCAATGAATAGAATATGTGAAATTTGAGTAGGCAATACTACATTTAACATGTTAGTCATTTAGCAGAAAGAGCGACTTGCAGTTAGTGCATTCATCTTAAAGAGGCGTTATATTTAGCCTACAATGACCAAAAAAGGACACATCTTTCCAATACCACATTCAAGTTCCTCCTCTCAGCCAGCCATGTCTACCAAGGCTTCCACCCCTAACAAGCCTCGGAGGCTGAGGGTCTCTGACGTGCGTCGGGAGCTCCAGAGCCTGCTCCTGGGGGCAGAGATGGCCCACAAGGCTGACATCCACACATACAGCTGTGGCCACTTGAGCCCCTACGCCCTGAGCCAGCCCCAGCCCCACCGGAGGAGGACAGAGGAACCAATCTGGCAGACGTCTGAGGTCCTGCCCCCACTGTTTTCTTTCTCTATGTTCAGTACCATTTTGCAGAAAAATGCATTGAAAGTATAGAGAGCGTTAAACCACTTATTGTTTTTACCACTACATCACTGCTTACAACGACACAACAACAACAACGCACACCTGATTACCTTGTTAATAAACACAATAATAAAACCTGTGGAATTTTAACAATATTATATGACTATTAAAACAGAGATTGAGAAATGTTCTTTATAGAACCATTCTCCATAAAAGTTCTATACTGAACCATAAAAAAGGTTCTATGTAGGGTTTTTTATAGCACCATACATGTTCCATTTAGAACCTTATGAGCATGGTTCTTTATAGAACCTTCAAAAAAAGGTTACATGTAGCACCAAAAAGCCAAATAACCATTATTTGGCACAATATAGAACCATTTGTTTTTAGTGTGTGTGTTTAGTGTGTAATGTGCAGTGTTTATTTCACATACAACAACAACAACAAAGCCTAACGTCAACATATTCATTGTCTCTAGGTCCAGGAAAGGGAAAAGGATGAGGAGGAAGGACTGAGTCCCAGTCCTCTTACGCAACACCTCCAGAGACAAACCAAGATGGCCGCCAACATCGAGAAGATGAAGGAAGCCATGTTTGATTTCACTGTCGCCAAGGGGCTAAAACCTAAGGTCTTGAAGCCTGAGCAGCATGAGAGCAGTACTGGCACACAGAGGGGAACGAAGGGAGAGGAAGGAGAAGAAAGAGAGAGGAGGAAAACAAGATCCAAGATGGTTCTGGACACCTCTGAGCTCTTCCTGGTCAAACCCAGCGTAGCATCACAGACCAAACCTCCTGGAGGTGTTGAGGAGGGGAACCAAGACAGGTAATAATGATAACACTGTAGCATCACAGACCAAACCTCCTGGAGGTGTTGAGGAGGGGAACCAGGACAGGTAAGTATTAAGATTAACATTTGTCTGGATTAAATCCATATCGCCGAAGTATCACTGAAGATCTGCATAAAAATAGTAAGGTAATTTCCGATTGAGCTGACATATGCAGCGTTTACCGTGAATGCAGTCTCTGTGACCGAGGGAACATTGCCTTTAATTGTCAATCATGCTATGAAGCGGCTCTTCAGCGCTACGGATTGATTAGAGACCTTTATTGTCTTGGACACACAGTACTGCTAATAATTAATTAATAATTATTATTTATATAGCACCTCTCCATGTACAGTAAGTGCTTTAAAAATACAAAGGGGGGAAACTTCCCTCTTCCACCACCAATGTGTAGCACCCACAGTACTGCTGTATAAAAAAATAAACACTGCACCTTACACACTCAACACACACACTAAAAACAAATGGTTCTATATTGTGCCAAATAATGGTTATTTGGCTTTTTGGTGCTACATGTAACCTTTTTTTGAAGGTTCTATAAAGAACCATGCTCGTAAGGTTCTAAATGGAACATGTATGGTGCTATAAAAAACCCTACATAGAACCTTTTTTATGGTTCAGTATAGAACTTTTATGGAGAATGGTTCTATAAAGAACATTTCTCAATCTTTAATAGCCATATTATATAGTTAAAATTCCACAGGTTTTATTATTGTGTTTATTAACTAGTTGAATCAGGTGTTCTAGTTCTGGAATGGCCGGGGGTTCCTGAGGAGAGAATTCAGAACTACTGACTTAGTCAACCATTCTCAGTTGACACAAGGCCATACATGAGCATTTTACAAGACACCACCACTAGCCATAGTCATATATTATATGTAATAGCATAACACAACAGATTAGATCAACTGGAATGACACTCTCACTCACGGTTGCACAAAAAGAGCTGTGAGTAAGCCACGCCCCTAAATATTCTAGCGCAAGCATCATGTTCTACCAACTGAGCCACCCGGGACTGATCACTAAAATTATCACTTAAAGAAAAAATAACCATTTTTTAAACTGCAAATAACCATTGAAGTGCTCAAAGGGTTCTTTGGATCAGTATGGTTCCACATAGAACCCTTCCCAAACAACCAATGGATGTTGCCCATGTCTTACTAATATAATATAGTATATTCCATTTAGCAGACACTTTTATCTAAAGCGACTTACAGTCAGTCATGCATGCATTTTACGTATGGGTGGCCCCAGCAGGAATTTAACCCTTGACCTTTGGCGTTGCAAGCGCTATGCTCTACCGACTGAGCCACACAGGACTCTCTAACACATCATAGGAGCCTCTAACACATCATAGGAGCCTCTAACACATCATAGGAGCCTCTAACACACCATAGGAGCCTCTAACACATCATAGGAGCCTCTTACACATCATAGGAGCCTCTAACACATCATAGGAGCCTCTAACACATCATAGGAGCCTCTAACACATCATAGGAGCCTCTAACACATCATAGGAGCCTCTAACACATCATATGAGCCTCTTACACATCATAGGAGCCTCTAACACATCATAGGAGCCTCTAACACATCATAGGAGCCTCTAGCACATCATAGGAGCCTCTAACACATCATAGGAGCCTCTTACACATCATAGGAGCCTCTAACACATCATAGGAGCCTCTAACACATCATAGGAGCCTCTAACACATCATAGGAGCCTCTAACACATCATAGGAGCCTCTAACACACCATAGGAGCCTCTAACACATCATAGGAGCCTCTAACACATCATAGGAGCCTCTAACACATCATAGGAGCCTCTAACACATCACAGGAGCCTCTAACACACCATAGGAGCCTCTTACACATCATACTTTGGTCCATGATATACAGGTACTGGTTCACTCAGTCTCACCTGGTCCATCTACAGGTACTGGTTCACTCAGTCTCACCTGGTGCATCTACAGGTACTGGTTCACTCAGTCTCACCTGGTGCATCTACAGGTACTGGTTCACTCAGTCTCACCTGGTCCATCTACAGGTACTGGTTCACTCAGTCTCACCTGGTCCATCTACAGGTACTGGTTCACTCAGTCTCACCTGGTGCATCTACAGGTACTGGTTCACTCAGTCTCACCTGGTCCATCTACAGGTACTGGTTCACTCAGTCTCACCTGGGGGGCCTGACCAAGAAGGACCAGATGAGGATGATGAAACACTTTGACAGACAGGTGTTGGGGAAGCAGGACCTCAGGGACAGGAAGTGGATCAGTGGGAACAAGGCTGCTGAGGTCTACGAGTGGAAGCTAGAGAAGGTGGGGAAGACTAACGTGTTTCTTTGGTTGTTCAAATTTGACCCGGTACAGTATAAACATCACGTAATATCATAACATTCTAATTACAACGTAATAACCTATGGGTTACTTCTACGTTGCTCTGGAATTAATGATTTGAAACAAGTGGTACGTAGCCTGCATAATTAATAATAGGCCTACGAGTGGTAATAGTATGCTGTAGATTATAGGGCCGTGTTCTTCAGTCCTCTACAGGTGTTGAGTTCGGCCGTGTTCTTCAGTCCTCTAGGGGTGTTGAGTTCAGCAGTGTTCTACAGTCCTCTAGAGGTGTTATGAGTTCAGCAGTGTTCTTCAGTCCTCTAGAGGTGTTGAGTTCAGCAGTGTTCTTCAGTCCTCTAGAGGTGTTATGAGTTCAGCAGTGTTCTTCAGTCCTCTAGAGGTGTTATGAGTTCAGCAGTGTTCTTCAGTCCTCTAGAGGTGTTGAGGTCAGCAGTGTTCTTCAGTCCTCTAGAGGTGTTGAGTTCAGCAGTGTTCTACAGTCCTCTAGAGGTGTTATGAGTTCAGCAGTGTTCTACAGTCCTCTAGAGGTGTTATGAGTTCAGCAGTGTTCTTCAGTCCTCTAGAGGTGTTATGAGTTCAGCAGTGTTCTTCAGTCCTCTAGAGGTGTTGAGTTCAGCAGTGTTCTTCAGTCCTCTAGAGGTGTTATGAGTTCAGCAGTGTTCTACAGTCCTCTAGAGGTGTTATGAGTTCAGCAGTGTTCTACAGTCCTCTAGAGGTGTTATGAGTTCAGCAGTGTTCTTCAGTCCTCTAGAGGTGTTGAGTTCAGCAGTGTTCTTCAGTCCTCTAGAGGTGTTATGAGTTCAGCAGTGTTCTACAGTCCTCTAGAGGTGTTATGAGTTCAGCAGTGTTCTACAGTCCTCTAGAGGTGTTATGAGTTCAGCAGTGTTCTTCAGTCCTCTAGAGGTGTTGAGTTCAGCAGTGTTCTTCAGTCCTCTAGAGGTGTTGTGAGTTCAGCAGTGTTCTACAGTCCTCTAGAGGTGTTATGAGTTCAGCATAACACTCCAGATAACGTTTCTCCCCAGCCTCCACTTCACTTCACACAGTTGCAGCTGTGACTGAGTTATTACCGTACCATATGATGTGTGCCTCCTTCCCCAGGAGCTGAGGAGGCTGTCGGACCAGAGCCGTCCCAGTAGAGACCGTCTGGGGGTGTTCAGTGACGTCTTCAACGACGTCTGTGAAGGCTCGCCAGTATTCAGAGACATCCTCAGGGAAATCAAGGTTTTTCCATTTCCTCTCCTCTCCCTTACCTCTCTCCCTCCACGGCTCCACTCAGCAGAAGCACATGGTGAGCATGTGGGATGGGATGAATTAGAGGATAGGGACTGGGAGCCTGAGAGACTGACAGTCTCCTGAATTAGAGGATAGGGACTGGGAGCCTGAGAGACTGACAGTCTCCTGAATTAGAGGATAGGGACTGGGAGCCTGAGAGACTGACAGTCTCCTGAATTAGAGGATAGGGACTGGGAGCCTGAGAGACTGACAGTCTCCTGAATTAGAGGATAGGGACTGGGAGCCTGAGAGACTGACAGTCTCCTGAATTAGAGGATAGGGACTGGGAGCCTGAGAGACTGATGGTCCCCTGAATTACAGGATAGTTTCCCTCTTACTATGTAAAGCTCTTTGAGTATCTCAATTGGTAGAAAGGCGCTATAAAATCCAATCTATTATTATTATTATTATTATTATTATTATTCAATCTGTGTTTCTCCCTTCTGCTTTCCAGACAGACTATGATCTGTACCTCAACTCTATTCTGGACTCCCAGACGTCTCTTGAGGACTTGGTAAACATTACAAACACATTCAGATTTTTTTCAAGTTAATTCGTAGCCTAATTATATGGAAATCTTACTCAATGATTGTCTTCTCACTGCATATTAAGGTCTGTACTGACACTTGGTGAGCTTTTGATTGACTACTGTAACCCCTATTAAAGTCCTCTATATCCTCAAAATCCAATCTGGACCTGGAAGCCAGTTCCACTGCTTTTTGTCATTCCTCCCCTCTTATCAGGGATTGATTTAGACCTGGGACACCAGGTGGGTACGGTTAATTATCAGGTGGAACAGGAAACCAGCAGTACTCCGGACCTGGTAGGGTCAGAGTTGAATACCCCTTCTCTATCCTGTACTGATCTTCATTGGCAGTGTTTTATCCCTCCTCCTCTCTGTGTTGTGGTCAGTCTGTTCTGGCTCCGCTGGGTGATCTGGCCATCGTAGGGGCAGAGGATCTGGAGGAGGCTGGGAACGAGGTGTCCAGGCTGGGGGAGGAGGCACAGAGGGTCCTGGAGGAGAATGACCGGTATGGATGAGTCTCTGAGGGAATGGATATATACAGTACCAGTCCAAAGTTTGGACACACCTACTCATTCAAGGGTTTTTCTTTATTTTTTAAAATTTTCTACATTGTAGAATAATATTGAAGACATCAAAACAATGAAATAACATATATGGAATCATGTAGTAACCAAAAAAGTGTTAAACAAATCAAAATATGTATTAGATTTTAGATTCTTCAAAGTTGCCACCCTTTGCATTGATGACAGCTTTGCACACTCTTGGCATTCTCTCAACCAGCTTCATGAGGTTGTCACCTGGAATGCTTTTCCAGTATTGAAGGAGTTCCCACATATGCTGAGCACTTGTTGGCTGCTTTTCTGTCACTCTGCGGTTCAACTCATCCTAAACCATCTCAATTGGGTTGAGGTCGGGTGATTGTGAGGCCAGGTCATCTGATGCAGCACTCCATCACTCTCCTTCTTGGTCAAATAGCCCTTACACAGCCTGGAGGTGTGTTTTGGGTCATTGTCCTGTTGAAAAACAAATGATAGTCCCACTAAGCGCAAACCAGATGGGATGGCGTATCGCTGCAGAATGCTGTGGTAGCCATGCTGGTTAAGTGTGCCTTGAATTCTAAATAAATCACAGACAGTATAACTAGCAAAGCAGCCCCACACCATCACACCTCCTCCTCCATGCTTCACGGTTGGATCCACACATTCGGAGATCATCTGTTCACCTACTCTGCGTCTCACAACGACACAGCGTTTGACAACCAAAAATCTCAAATTTGGACAGATTTCCACCGGTCTAATGTCCATTGCTCGTGTTTCTTGGCCCAAGCAAGTCTCTTCTTCTTATTGGTGTCCTTTAGTAGTGGTTTCTTTGCAGCAATTAGACTATGAAGGCCTGATTCACGCAGTCTCCTCTGAACAGCTGATGTTGAGATGTGTCTGTTACTTGAACTCTGTGAAGCATTTATTTGGGCTGCAATCTGAGGTGCAGTTAATTGCTAATTTCTGAGGCTGGTAACTCTAATGAACTTATCCTCTGCAGCAGAGGTAACTCTGGGTCTTCCTTTCCTGTGGGGGTCCTCATGAGAGCCAGTTTCATCATAGCGCTTGAATGGTTTTTGCGACTGCACTTGAAGAAACTTTCAAAATTCTTGACATTTTGTCTTCAATTAATGATGGACTGTTGTTTCTCTTTGCTAATTTGAGCTGTTCTTGCCATAATATGGACTTGGTATTTTACCAAATAGGGCTATTTTCTGTATACCCCCCTACCTTGTCACAACACAACTGATAGGCTCAAACGCATTGAGAAAATAAATTCCACACATTAACTTTTAAGAAAGCTGTTAAGATAATTTATTAACTAACTATTTCAGTGTCTCTGTGCGTTTCCCAAAGTTTGTAAGACTTTGGTTCAAGAAACGGACAGAGCCTCAGTGCAATAGCCAGGTCTTTATTCAGAGAATCACATTTTCAGAGTCCATCTTTTATACACACACGTCATACAAAAATCCCACCCCGCTTTAGGCTGTATTTTTCCACTGTACATGGGTTTAGCTGATGTTTTCCTCTGATGTTTTCCTCTGCTCTCCTGACCATCAGGTCTCACACGCACACGCACACGCACACACATACACACACACACACACACACACATACATACATACATACACACACACACACACACACACACACACATACACACACACACATACACATACACACACACACATACACATACACATACACACACACACACACATACACACACACACACACACACACACATACACATGTTCTTATCATAGTCTACTCCTTGCTCGGGCAGGCTGCATTCCTCAGTTATCGCCGTTCTCACAATATTCTGACTGCCTCATTGTACTTCTAACTAAGCTAGACATGTTATCAGTTTATAGTCTTATGATTCTAACACTTTTCACACAGTTTCAGGGTGTAATAATTAGTCACTACTAAGAAAGTACTAATCATACTTAAAACAAGAACATTTCACAACTCTATTTAAGGGTGGAACATTTAGTCATTACTTTTAACCTGTATATATTTTAATTTCTATATCAAAAGCACACCTGTTAATTTAAATGCATTCCAGGTGACAAAGGGTGGCTACTTTGGAGAATCTAAAATATTAAATATATTTTGATTTGTTTAACACTTTTTTGGTTACTACATGATTCTATATGTGTTATTTCATAGTTTTGATGTCTTCACTATTATTCTACAATGTAGAAAATAGTACAAATAAAGAAAATCCCTTGAATGAGTTGGTGTGTTCAAACATTTGACTGGTACATCGGACTAGGGGCTAGATTCAATCAGTAGCGCAGAAGATCTTCATTATAGCACAATTTAAATTGAAAGGGTAGGTAGCATAAATGTAACCACATGTAACATATGGATTTGCATTAGTATACACGCCAAAAGTCCCAATGCAGAGTTACACCTCACTTATCTATTTTTCGAGTTATTACATAAAACCGATCAGAATGCCAAAGTCATGCCGGAAAATGTTTTTGTGGGGTGTGGTGTAAGATGGAGGACCTGCAAAGTCAGCCTATTCCCTATAATATAAACTCCAACAGAAATAACTTCAAATGTATAACTTCAAATTAAACCAAATAGTTTACTCTCATGACTACTGGTTTCAATAAAATGTTCAGCCAAATTACAAGCAAATACTTTACGAATGTATTGTTGCTAATCAGCGTGCCAGGTTGCTAGCCCACTAGCCTGCTAACGTTATCCCTACCAGCCTGCTAACATTATTTTAGCTCTGCATGAGTCAGCCAGTTGCTATCAACACCTAGCTTACAGCTACATTCAAGTAAACCAATGTTTTGGAAATACATAACACCATCTAAACAGTTATCAAATAATGTTACAGTTATATGCAGTTATCTTACCCAGCCAGCTAAAGTTAGTAATTTTAGCCTACTAGCCCAGCTAGCCAACCTCTACGGTCGACATAGCTAAGTAGTAAGCCAGATAACAACACCTACTAGTCTAGAACAGGCAGGAACACACAGAACACAACAACAACAAAAAGCCAGCAGATATAAAGTAGCGAGAGCGGAGACTTACCGATTGACGGCTGAGTTAGCTACCAGAGAAGAGCCTAGGCGATTGACGGCTGAGTTAGCTACCAGAGAAGAGCCTAGGCGATTGACGGCTGAGTTAGCTACCAGAGAAGAGCCTAGGCGATTGACGGCTGAGTTAGCTACCAGAGAAGAGCCTAGGCGATTGACGGCTGAGTTAGCTACCAGAGAAGAGCCTAGGCGATTGACGGCTGAGTTAGCTACCAGAGAAGAGCCAAGGAGAGAGACGCTTCAGAGAGAGCGGCCGTTTCACCGGCCGAGGGAGAGTCAGCTAATCCAATAGCAATATAGTGAGGTAAATCCACCGTAGATTCGACAGGCAATAACCCAGAGGCAGCATTGGGCACAGGAGACGAGGAGAAGAGTCAACAATAAGACAGAGGGGGTACAGGGAATAGGAGGAGAAGAGTCAACAATAAGACAGAGGGGGTACAGGGTATAGGAGGAGAAGAGTCAACAATAAGACAGAGAGGGTATAGCAGGGGGAAGAGTCAACAATAAGACAGAGGGGGTACAGGGTATAGGAGGAGAAGAGTCAACAATAAGACAGAGAGGGTATAGCAGGGGGAAGAGTCAACAATAATACAGAGGGGGTACAGGGTATAGGAGGAGAAGAGTCAACAATAAGACAGAGGGGGTACAGGGTATAGGAGGAGAAGAGTCAACAATAAGACAGAGAGGGTATAGCAGGGGGAAGAGTCAACAATAAGACAGAGGGGGTACAGGGTATAGGAGGAGAAGAGTCAACAATAAGACAGAGAGGGTATAGCAGGGGGAAGAGTCAACAATAATACAGAGGGGGTACAGGGTATAGGAGGAGAAGAGTCAACAATAAGACAGAGGGGGTATAGCAGGGGGAAGAGTCAACAATAATACAGAGGGGGTACAGGGTATAGGAGGAGAAGAGTCAACAATAAGACAGAGGGGGTACAGGGTATAGGAGGAGAAGAGTCAACAATAAGACAGAGGGGGTACAGGGTATAGGAGGGGAAGAGTCAACAATGATACAGAGGGGGTACAGGGTATAGGAGGGGGAAGAGTCAACAATAAGACAGAGGGGGTACAGGGTATAGGAGGGGAAGAGTCAACAATAATACAGAGGGGGTACAGGGTATAGGAGGAGAAGAGTCAACAATAAGACAGAGGGGGTACAGGGTATAGGAGGGGAAGAGTCAACAATAAGACAGAGGGGGTACAGGGTATAGGAGGAGAAGAGTCAACAATAAGACAGAGGGGGTACAGGGAATAGGAGGAGAAGAGTCAACAATAAGACAGAGGGGGTACAGGGTATAGGAGGAGAAGAGTCAACAATAAGACAGAGGGGGTACAGGGTATAGGAGGAGAAGAGTCAACAATAAGACAGAGGGGGTACAGGGTATAGGAGGAGAAGAGTCAACAATAAGAGGGTGATAGGAGGAAGGCTCCAGGCAGATAGAAATGATCACAACATCACAGTGAGTCAGCTACTGTAGCGCACTAGTACTAAGCCAAGGTTGAAAAACTCTGGTAGCCTACTTCATGGAGAACACGTGGTGCGGCCCCCACGTGTGGGGAATCTTAGTGGTTGTTTACATCACACCTCCTTGTGATTGATAAATTGTAGATTGTAGCTCAACATTCAGTGTGCATGCTAGTGGCTAACCTTAGCCAGCTTGAGACAGCTAACGCAGAGTAGATTCTCCATATGACTTTGAGAAATAGTGCATTGTGGGTAGTTTAGAAAATATCCGGAAATAAGTTAACACATATGTAAAAACCCCAAAACATAACTATGTTTGTAGTTATAGGTAACCAGATCGTGACTACAACTAAGTTACTAAGTCTTTGACCACACTGTGTTGTTACTTTGGTCAGTAAAAACTCATGCTTCATACCAAAGTTCCCTCTAAGCTACATGGGGGGCGCGCAGCTCCCACTAGACTGCCGCGCAGAAGTAACATCAGCCCGCGCAGAGAAGCACGAGATTGAACTGAACTCAACTTTCTCGAGTTTTCCCCCCTTCGTTAACACTATCAACGTTTCCCTTTACTGTGGGAATTGTGAACGAATCAACGTAATATTAGCCACTTGCATTTCCTTCATTGTTTCTGATGGTAGGCCACTCTGGTAGGTCTACATTATGATCATCCACAGTAACCACTGTCTGAAACTGTAACTTAAAGCGGGTACAGCCTCAGTGTTCACAGTAAACGCGCGCTGGAAGTTGCACAGACATTTTCACAATATTCAAGTTTGCGCTCAGCAGAACAGAAATTTGCTCAGTGTGCGAAAAAGAATTTGAGTAAACGTTGCTTCCTACGCTTTAAATGTAATTTCCGATTGAGCTGACATATGCAGTGTTTACCGTGATTGCAGTCTACTTGAATGTGGGAAAATTGCTTTTAAATATCAATCCCTCGATAACGCGGATCTTCCGCCCTAGGAGTTGTGGTCAACGGTGATGTATTACAAATACTTTGCTTTTGTTCAAAACATGAAATACAAAAACTTTTATTCCAAAAACTTGTATTGAATTCCTAGTTTTGGTTGTATTGATTTCCTTGTGTGATAATGCACTTTGACTTGACTTCATTTTCATTTGATTGTATTTGTGTCGATTCTCTGTTTCCCCAGAGTCAGGAATCAGTTTCAGAACGCACGTGACAGAGTCATGGAAATCCCAGATGATAAAGGTTGATTGATTGATTGATTGTTTAGTTGATTTATTGCTGTGTTTGTTTGATTATTGATTCATTGAATGGTTTGCTTGATTAATAATTCATTGGTTTGATTGATTGATTGGTTTGTTTGATTGAATGATTGATTGATTAATTGGTTGATTGATTGATTCCAGGGCTCCGTAAGGAGGCCACCCTGCCAGGTCTGATGAGGCCAGGGGAAGGGGCTGTCTCCTTTATAGATCGTGTCCAGCCTAAGAGACGTCAGGTATGGAACATAATATATACACTACCGGTCAAAAGTTTATTTTTACTATTTTCTAGTTGTAGAATAACAGTGAAGACATCAAAACTATGAAATAACACATATGGAATCATGTAGTAATCAAATAGCCACCCTTTGCTTTGATGACAGCTTTGCACACTCTTGGCATTCTCTCAACCAGCTTCATGAGGTAGTCACCTGGAATGCATTTCAATTAACAGGTGTGCCTTCTTAAAAGTTAATTTGTGGAATTTCTTTCCTTCTTAATGCGTTTGAGCCAATCAGTTGTGATATGACAAGGTAGGGGGGGTATACAGATGTTAGCCCTATTTGGTAAAAGACCAAGTCCATATTATGGCAAGAACAGCTCAAATAAGCAAAGAGAAACGACAGACCATCATTACTTTAAGACATGAAAGTCAGTCAATACGGAGCATTTCAAGAACTTTGAAAGTTTCTTCAAGTGCAGTCGCAAAAACCATCAAGCGCAATGATGAAACTGGCTCTCATGAGGACCGCCACAGGAATGGAAGACCCAGAGCTACCTCTGCTGCAGAGGATAAGTTCATTAGAGTTACCAGGGTCAGAAATTGCAGCCCAAATAAATGCTTCTCAGAGTTCAAGTAACAGACACATCTCAACATCAACTGTTCATACGAGACTGTGTGAATCAGGCCTTCATGGTCAAATTGCTGCAAAGAAACCACTACTAAAGGACACCAATAAGAAGAAATGACTTGCTTGGGCCAAGAAACACGAGCAATGGACATTAGACCGGTGGAAATCTGTCCTTTGGCCTGATGAGTCCAAATTGGAGATTTTTGGTTCCAACCGCCGTGTCTTTGTGAGACGAGGTGTGGGTGAACGGATGATCTCTGCATGTGTGTTTCCCACCGTAAAGCATGGAGGAGGAGGTGTTATGGTGTGGGGGTGCTTTGCTGGTGACACTGTCTGTGATTTATTTAGAATTCAAGGCACACTTAACCAGCATGGCTACCACAGCATTCTGCAGCGATACGCCATCCCATCTGGTTTGGGCTTAGTGGGACTATCATTTGTTTTTCAACAGGACAATGACCCAACACACCTCCAGGCTGTGTAAGGGCTATTTTACCAAGAAGGAGAGTGATTGAGTGCTGCATCAGATGACCTGGCCTCCACAATCACCCGACCTTAACCAAATGAGATGGTTTGGGATGAGTCGGACTGCAGAGTGAAGGAAAAGCGGCCAACAAGTGCTCAGCATATGTGGGAACTCCTTCAAGGCTGTTGGAAAAGCATTCCAGGTGAAGCTGGTTGAGAGAATGCCAAGAGTGTGCAAAGCTGTCATCAAGGCAAAGGGTGGCTACCTGAAGAATCTCAAATATAAAATATATTTTGGTTTGTTTAACACTTTGTTGGTTACTACGTGGTTCCATATGTGTTATTTCATAGTTTTGATGTCTTCACTATTATTCTACAATGTAGAAAATAGTTTTTAAAAAATAAGAAAAACCCTTGAATGAGTAGGTGTTCCAAAACCTTTGACCGGTAGTGTATATTGGTTGTATAATATTTAATAATGTATAATACTGTAAAATATATAATGTTGTTTTTTTACAAATGTTTTTTTTTTTTAATGTAATTGTAAGCTTTATTTAGACAGATAATATATGACAGGTGGGGATACATAGATTGTGAGTTGAGAGTGGGGAGCGGTGACCCACTTGTCCACGGCTCTGTTAAATATCAGGTCCTCCTTAGCTCAGTTGGGGTAGAGCATTGTGCTTGCAACGCTGGGATAGTGGGTTCAGTTCCCGGGACCACCCCTACGTAAAAACGTTTATGCACGCATGACTGTAAGTCAGTTGGATAAAAAGCGTCTGCTAAACGGCGTATGTTATCAGGCGTGGATCGTGTGGGAGGAGGTGCAGCTGCTGCAGAAGGAACTTAAGGAGAAGATGGTGTCCATCGTCACCACGGGAGCGACAGAGAGATGCATCAGAGACTCAAAGGTACGAATCAAGGACTCTAGTCTAAGATAAATGCAGCAAAGTCTTGAACTCAGGTGGCCAGGCCCAGAGGAGGTATTAACCACAGCTCCGATAGGGATATCCAACTGGGGGAGCTCCTAGCGGCTTTACATAGGTGTGGGTCGTTATAGTTCTATGCATTTGTTGGATTAACTGGGTAAAATAATACTGTCCATGTTTTCTATAAGGTATTTCATTTTCCCTTAGGGATTGATATCTCTTTTCCAGTGAGCCCTCCCTGCCCAATAAAAGCAGCATACATTTTTACTCGCGCCGTAGAATTACATATCTCTATTAATCACATTCACAAAAAAACACAGACACGTTGGATAGACTATGTCCTGCTTCGCTCTTCACGTATGTTATGGCCTGCACTCCCTTTACACACAGCTTATCATCGCTAATGTACAGACTGACCCCCCCCTTTATCATAGGACAGTTCACTGCAGTACTGTGTGTGTGTGTGTGTGTGGGTGGGTGGGTGTGTGTGGGTGTGTGTGTGTGTGTGTGTCTGTTATCTCCTGCAGGGAGAGATCATGAGACTACTGGCCTCAAACGAACGCTTCAGAAACACCAACAAGGCAAGCCATTTAGTACTTTGACCTAGTTTAAATATTATCATACTTTTTCCCTTGACTTTATGTATGTACTGTATGTGCTGTATGTATGTACTGTATGTATGTACAGTACCAGTCAAAAGTTTGGACACACCTACTCATTCAAGGGTTTTTCTTTATTTTTTTACTATTTTCTACATTGTAGAATAATAGTGAAGACATCAAAACTATTAAATAACACATATGGAATCATGTAGTAAGCAAAAAAAGTGTTAAACAAATCAAAATATATTTTATATTTGAGATTCTTCAAATAGCCACCCTTTGCCTTGATGACAGCTTTGCACACTCTTGGCATTCTCTCAACCAGCTTCATGAGGTAGTCACCTGGAATGGATTTCAATTAACAGGTGTGCCTTCTTAAAAGTTAATTTGTGGAATTTCTTTCCTTCTTAATGAATTTGAGCCAATCAGTTGTGTTGTGACAGGGTAGAGTTGGTATACAGAAGATAGCCCAATTTGGTAAAAGACCAAGTCCTTATTATGGCAAGAGCAGCTCAAATAAGCAAAGAGAAACGACAGTCCATCATTACTTTAAGACATGAAGGTCAGTCAATACGGAACATTTCAAGAACTTTGAAAGTTTCTTCAGGTGTAGTCGCAGAAACCATCAAGTGCTATGATGAAACTGGCTCTCATGAGGACCGCCACAGGAATGGAAGACCCAGAGTTACCTCTGCTGCGGAGGATACGTTCGTTAGAGTTAACTGCACCTCAGATTGTAGATTGCAGAGTGTTATTTAATAGTTTTGATGTCTTCACTATTATTCTACATTGTAGAAAATAGTAAAAATTAAGAAAAACCCTTGAATGAGTAGGTGTGTCCAAACTTTTGACTGGTAGTGTATGTATGTATGTATGTATGTATGTACTATATGTAGGTGGACCAATAGTCAGAGATGATAATGCAGCAATATATTTCAATCCAATACACTGGCCACCCCTCGGGCCTGGTTCCTCTCTAGGTTTCTTCCTAGGTTCCTGCCTTTCTAGGGAGTTTTACCTAGCCACTGTGCTTCTACATCTGCATTGCGTGCTCTCTGGGGTTTAATGCTGGGTATCTGTAAAGCACTTTGTGACAACTGCTAATGTAAAAATAGTTTCTTAAAATAAAGTTTGATTGAAATGTTATTGAATATACAATGCATTTTCTATAATCATTGGTCTCTCTGTGTCTTGAAGGATCTGGAAAGCAACATCAACATGATCCTGGACAGAGTGAGAGCAAGCGAGGATGTGAAAGCGTACGTATCCTCGACATCATTTTAAGACTGTAACCAATCTCAGTATGTATCTTACGTGTATATCTGTTGTATGGTCGACACCGTTTTTTTTTGGGACAACAAAACGTCCACAATTGGAACAATTAAGATATTGATTGTTCCCAGTCCTCATCTCAATTACACACTGATTCATAAATGTTAATAATGTTAATGCAATGGATTCAGCCTGTAGATACCTAAACCATAACCCCTGATCCTTAACCTCACTGTTAGATATACAGTACACTGCCTGTTGCTGTCTTGGTCCAGGGCCTGTAACCACTAAGCGTTTCAGTGCAGGAGTGCTGCCCCTGGATCTGCCCATACAATCTTTTTCATTATGACCTAAAAGTCAAAACTGATGATCAGCACTTCTACTCTTAAGACGCTTTGTGGATGCCGGCCCAGGTCTCTCTCTTGGCAAAAGAGATTATTATCTCAACGAGACTAACCTGGTTAAATAAAAAGGTAAAATAAAAAGACATTCTCTCTCTCTCTCACTGTTGCTGTGATCTGGTTCTATTCACAGGGAGGTGTGGGACAAAATATGCATCGCCCTGCTACACGAGGACGATGGAACACAACCACTAGTAAATTAGTCGCGTTTGGAACAGTACCTCATTTTGTCCACTAGGGGGTACTATTTGACAAGATGATCTAAAGACCACTTCTACACATTCATGCTGGAAGACAGGGTGATTACACGCGTTAAGCCAAGCTTCACCTTACTTTTAATCGTTGTTATTCAAGCTGACCTCTGATGGTAACAGAAGTACAATGGCATTAGTGACAACAGCAACAACCACACATTAAAATGTAGTCCTTCCAAGAGTCAAATATGCTGTAATGACATCATTGAAATATCTTATTTGACTTATCAGACTATATAATAGTCTTGTAACAATAAAGATACTGTATCATTGAGGCTTTTGTTAAAATGTGGTGAGGATTGTAATACATATGGCTTTGATGTCATACAAGCAAACCGGCAGGGATGTAGCTCAGTTGATAGAGCATGGCGTTTGCAACGCCAGGGTTGTGGGTTCGATTCCCACGGGGGGCCAGTATAAAAAAAATATATATGTATTCACTAACTGTAAGTCGCTCTGGAT